CGAAAGGAGGCCGCGATGGCAGCCCCGGTGGCCTCGGCCATGTGGCGCACGGAGGCCAGGCCCCGGCACGCCGCGGTGAGGAGGGGCATGGCCAGCAGCCCGTGCACGCGGGTGCCCACCCAGGCGCGCAGGCTGCCCCGCAGCGACTCGGCCGTGGTGACGCTCGAGTTGTTCAGCACGGTGAGCACCTCCGTGAAGAGGCTGCTGAGCGCCATGTGACGCATCTGCAGGTCCATGTCTGAAAGAAAGAAACCCCAGGATGGTTAAGGCTGGAAGGGACCTCTAGAGACCACCCAGTCCAACCCCTGCTCCAGCAGGGACACCCAGAGCAGGGGCACAGGGTGGCATCCAGGCGGGTTTGAAGATCTCCAGAGAAGGAGCCTCCACAGCCTCTCTGGGCAGCCTGTGCCAGGGCTCTGGCACCCTCACACCAAAGAAGTTCTTCCTCACATGGAGCTACTAGAACTTGCCATGTTTTAGTAACGACCCATTTCAGTAAATAGAAGTTAGACCCTAGACAAATTCAATTTCATCTCCAAACATTTCTTTAGGTCCTGGGAAAAGTCACTTTTTCATTACATATCCACAGTGAGACACTTGCTCTTAACAGGTTATTTCCTTCACAATTTAATCCATAACTTACCCAACAGCCAGAGACAGCTGATAAACACTGTACTGCACCCAGCATATCTAAGTCTATTTTTCAGTTAGAGACTTTTCAGCACTCCTACAGTGCAAATAAAGTGCATAGTAAAAACAAGTTTGCTGTTTCCCAAGAAAATGCGGGTATAAAACTACCACTTAAAGCACAGTTCAGAGCTAAATCACAAAGTATTTAATGATTTAATTCAAATATAACGAAGTTGAGCCTTGAGATTTTTGTAATCACATCACACATTTTACACCATCAGCCAATCCCACCGCAGTTCAAATCCAGAATCTTTTTCTGAAGCCATACCTTGCTGTAGTCTAAACGTATAAAAAAGCACTAGGTCAATAAAAGCTCTGAGGGTGTGGACAGCCATCATTACTTATGTACATCAACATAACTTCTCTGCTCCCACACTGCAAGTTTTCCTGATTATACAGTGGTTTAGAATCACTTGGACAGAGTGTGTGTGTATTTAAAATCATCTTTTGGAGGAGAAAAAATGACACTGACAGCAAAGAAACTCCTCAAAATTTCTATTTTAAAGGTTTTTCATGTTCAAACCAATAATTTGGGGGAAAATCTGTCTCCAATAGATCTAGCAGTCTTGGACAAGGAACACCACATGCTGGACAGTCTTACATGTAATATAAAAATGTTGTTTCTGCTGGTCCTAGTCCCCTTGACAGCTCTTCAGAATATCATACTTGTGTTTTGTGCTCATATGATTACTCAAAACAACATGTCCTTCCCATAAAGTAGACATTACAGTAATGCAACTACACAATCAAACAAAGTTCAAAAATCCATGAGCTAGAATGAAAGACCTGGACTGCTTTAAAACAATTTGCCCTCTTATTAATACAAACCTGGAGGATTAAAGATGATTATATCATCTAGTAGCTTGGACATTTCTTGCTCCAACACTGCAAGAGTAATCTTTCCGCTTTGTTCTAAGGTGCTAAGAAATTGAATCACTTGGTGAATGTACGCTCGGCATTTCAGCGTTGCATCCTGTTAATTAAAATCAAAAATAATTAAAAAAAAATCACTTATTATTCTCATGCTCTACATACGGTAGACCTTGCAGAAAAAGGTGGACCTTGCAAACAGCTAAGAGAGCTTAGAGACACTGCAAAAGCAGCTCAACTTACAAGGTGGATGTGACTGTCTGAAGATGCACCAAAGCCTGCTGATATTTTTAGGAGCTTCACTACCAGTTCAGCTGCTGTATCCTGGGCAAGGATAACAGAAGGAGGATAATGGCTATTGCAGTAGTCGATGATGCTCTGATAGGATGAGATGCCCACAAGTTGCCAAGGGAGGGAGCTGGTCTGTCCAAGGAGATTAATTACTGGTGATTCCTGAAGATTTAAAGACATGACTCTAAGTTCCACCTCTGTTGTTTTAAATGAACATTTACATAACTTAATATTGGAAGTACACTCAGATTTGTTCCACAGTTTTCATTAATTATCTACCAAACTGAGGAACTCCTCAATTATATCTTCTCACAAACAACATCCCGAGCTGGAGCAACAGCAGCCTACAGCATCCACAACCCCCACAGGTAGCGTGAATATCCAGACAGGAGCTTCTCTGCCAAAAAGTAGCAGGGAAGTCCAGCTTCATCTACCACCACCCTCTCTCAGGGTTCTGCCAGCCACTACTGTACAGAAGGGCATCACTCAGATGCTGAGAAGTATCAAATTATCTCAAATTATAGAACAAAAATATTGAAATTGTGTTGACAAGCAACAGAACCTAAATAACTTAAGGATCCACAACTTATCCAAATGAAATTATTTCAGTAAGAAGATTACACTTGTTACATCAAGTATTTCTTAAGTCACCTATGCACTGGAATATAGGGTTCAAATGTAAGTTTAACATTTACATCAAGTTGCCACACGAGCATCATGGGAGGTAAAAGGAGAGTAACAGCAGGAAACACTTTCCTGGAGGCTAGAAAGAAATTCCTAAGACTCATACAATAAACATATATAGGAATCTTTTGAAGTTCAAGAAGCTTCTTATAAGCAAAAATATTCCGGGCAAAAACGGTCTGCTAACCATGAACTCGAGTAGTTTTCCTAAGCTGGAATAAGATGTTGCATCTTAACAATGCAGAGCCTCCCTGGAAATCAGAAGACACCACAGATGGAAAAAAGCAGATGTGAAATGGGACTTCTAGGAGATTTCCCAGTCCCCCTGGAAGCAGCGCACCAAATCACAGTGTATCTGCAAGATTCACCTGTACAGAACTCTTAACAAAACCAGAATTTGGGAAGTTCATGGTAACACCCAGTGTTTCTTCTTAATCTCATGCTTTCCTCCTGCCCCCGTCCTCAGGCAAATACTGAAACGCAGCCATAAATGGGACAAGTGCTGAGCTACCAGAGACAATGAAATCTGTCTTCAGAGCAGGACAAAAAGAAAACTCCACCAGTTTCAAGAGATGCAATAAACTTTCCCTAATAACTTGTCACAAGCAGACATTGACAGGCTTCTTAAAGACATATTTGGTCTTCGAGACATTATATCACTGTGACATGTCATCACAGTCTATATGTCTTATTGAGTTAGAAGGGGTGCGTTTTATGGTAAGATATGAATGTCTGCAGAGGTAGTTCTGAGGTCTGAATGACAGTTATAAATAACTTCCCAGAAAACATGTTAAAGCAGATGAATGGATATTTTCCTCTTAGACGGCTATAAAACTATAGAGGAGAGACATTTCCAAGTTTATTGTTTTATAGCTCTGGGTGATAGGAGCTGTAAGCCCACACCATACAAAGCCTGGCTTAGCTTTACGTCCTTAACAAACGGGACAGTTAACCTGATGCTGCAAGGGAAAAAGATAAAGACAACAAGAGAACGGCTGCACTTAAAAATGTGGAGGCAGAAATAGTAAGAGATGCACATTCCTGTAGAGGGGAAGGGGCTACCACAGAACCAGGAACAACTCAGTTGATGCATGTACACAAGACTCATGTGTGGAGCCTGGTAATATGACTTCGACCTATAACTATAAAAGGAAAAGCAATTTCACAATAGCTTTATATAATAACTATACTTTTAAAATGCTAATGGCATTAACCTTGTGCCTTTGTTCCTCCCCATATCCAGAGTGTCACTTCGTAACTCCTGGAAACTGCCAGTATTTATTTGCTTATCTTCAAACACAACTTGATCACAGATCTTACAAAAACTTGCTGAAATGCGTAATCTCTCTTCCTTCCTCAACTGATAAAAAGTCCCACATAAGGATAAATCTTAACCAACTCAAGGGTACTACTGTGCCCTACACTACACTGCTCTACAACAGATGAAATGTTTCTGTGTTAATAACCCCACAAGTGAGGAAGAAGTCACAGTCTGCCTCCACGCTAGTAAAGTGCTGTTCTTCACAGACAGGTATGAAGCTACACAAAACTTACCTCTCTGCCTATAAGCTGTTCCTCCTTTGCCAACAGGACCATCATATACAGCAAACAGACAATCATGTTGTGAGTCTCGGGATGAGGATTGGGATTCCAGGCATCAGAGAGGACACTGACCCAGTTTATTTCACATAAAACATAACCCAGGAATAGGAAACAACTCTTGGGGCTGCCTCTTTCAACCTAGCAAGGAAAAAGGGAAAAAAAGGAATAAAAATCAATGCAAAAACAAAACAAATCTATACTTTTCAGATCCCTGACCACGCATAAATCCACAGCACCATTCCAGGCCAACAGAGGAGCAGGCTGACACTATCACTTTCACTCCTCACCAAGAGTCCCCCATGTAACCTCCTACCCCTCCCAAACAATTGGTACTGCACACAAAGTTACTGCAAACCAGAAAGAAACAGTCTATTAAGTTTAGTTACATGACTGCAATTTTTTTTATTATTTCTTTTCTAAAAAATGCCACAAGAACCTTATGAGCCTGTACAAGTCTTTAAGGGATTAAGGCCTCAATAATTAGCATCAGATCTCTGCATCGGAAGTAACAACTTATGGACATGCGATCACAAAGAAAACGTGGAGCTTACACCACTTTTGAGTTTATAAACCAAATCTCTCCAATTGTAAGACGATGGGTATTTTCTGATGCAGTGTAAGAGGTTGCTATTATAAAGTCAAAATACAAATTAACAAGTTTGAAATTTGAACCAGCCCCAAATGATGCCAAAATTATGTGAAGCTATACCACGTTTTAGTCAATGGTCTAAAATTTCATTCACTGCATCAATAGAGACATACCAGCCTCAATTCTCAATCTGTTACAGCATTTGTCTACTTTGTAGAGTGTTATGAGAATAACATGGGAACTCTAACTACACATATATTTAATACTACAAGAAGACATTTAGTTATAGCAGTGACAGACTACAAGGTCTGCCCTACAGCTCCCCACAACTTTGCATAAGACCCAGTGACACTTCTTCACAAATATGAACACTTCTTCACAAAATGAGCTTGAA